GCAGTGCCTATCAAAGTTGACTGAACATATGCATACCATAAATCCAGTCATTTCACTCCTGCATGTATTTTCAACAGGAATGTATGTGTATATTACATATACAAGTCCCAAAAGACATGTACTAGAATTTCAAACCAGACAGAACCTCTCAGATTAGCCAAAACTGGAAACTACCCAAATACTTACTGACAATAAATTGGATAAATAAATTATGTGCTATTTACAAAAGAATCCTAAGCAGTAATAATAACAATCTACATAGAACAACATGAATGAATCTCACAATGCTGAAAGAAGCTAGACACAAAAGAGTACATATTGTATGGTTCTATTTATATAAATTACAAAAACAGGCCACACTATTCTATGCTATTAGAAGTCAGGATGGTGGTTACCTTTGGGGCAGCAGGTAATGACAGGAAGGCAAGGTTGGAGCACTGGTATTGTTCTGCTTCTTGATCAGGGCGCTGGTTAGGTAAGTGTGGGAGTTTAAAAACATCCACAGATCCTTGACACCCCTTCCATGGGAAGGTGAAGTCCAATTCCCTCCCCTTTTATATGGGCTGGTCTTAGTGACTTGCGCCCAACAAACAATACACAGGAACTGACACTGCATGATTTCCAGTGCTGGTTAGAAAAGGCACTGCAGCTTCCACCTGGCCCTCTTTCTTGGGATGCTCACCCTGGGTACCCAGCCACCATGCTATGAAAAAACCGAGGAATCACATGGAAAGGCCCTGTGGATGTGTTCTGGTCACAGACATAGCTATAGTCCGAGCCAATAGGGGAGTATCAACAGCCAAACATATAAGTGAAGGAGCCTGCAGATGATTCCAGCCCCCAGCCTTTAATTTAACCTACCAAGCCTTGCCCAAATTGCAAATTCATAAGCAAAATAAATATTGCTATCTTAAGCCACCAGGTTTAGGGGTAATTTGTTAGGCGAGTATATGTAACTGGAACACACAACAGGTGTGCTCACTTTGTAAAAATTCATCAAGCTATGTAATTATGATAGGTACACTTTTCCCTATGTATTATTGTAATTAAGTTTCAATAAAAGTTTGAAATAAAAATCATATCATGGAAACAAGCTCAAATTTCTCATCAAATTTTTAAATAGATTTTATTGAGAAGTTTTATATAAATTCAATGTTTCATATCTCCCTAATACTTGTGTTTTCCTTACAATTACATGATATAAAGAAAATGCGATGGATTTTTTTTACCACGCCCAATTTAGACACCACCTAATCTCCACCAGTTTACCCTCATACACTGTCCAAATCTAATTATTTATCATGTATGGCTGTAAAAAAAGTAGGGAAGCACTGCTATAGGAGATATCTGCCCACCACCATTCCCTCTTCTTTTTTTTTTTATTAATAGTTTTTCTTTTTTCTTTTTTAAATTTTATTTATTTATTTGAGAGGGAGAGAGAATGAGAGAGAGCACGAGAGGGAAGAGGGTCCAAGGGAGAAGCAGACTCCCCACCGAGCAGGGAGCCCGATGTGAGACTCAATCCCGGGAATCCAGGACCATGACCCGAGCCAAAGGCAGTCGCCCAACCAACTGAGCCACCCAGGCGCCCGCCCACCATTCCCTCTTCTTTTGTTAATAGGATCTTACTGTCCTGAGGAGAACTACCTGCCTTCTGATCAACCAGGTTATCTGAGACCTAATTGCTCAACTTTTCCCTTAATTCTATTATTCTTCACATCCTTCTAATAAATTTCTATTTTATTTAAATTGATAATATTTGATCTCTCGTTTCTGCAACCAAAGAACACTTACTGGTACATATCTCCATGCTAGCACACGGCCATATAGTTGATGATGAATAAATATGAAATAAAATGTTTATAAAATGATTTCTGACAAAAGCAGAAAGACAGCATAGTGGAAAAAGAATAGCCTTGTAAGAAATATTGCTGGAACAACAATATGTGAACTTGAATCCATGCCTTAAACCATAAAAAAAAGTAACTCAAAATGCATCATAGACCTAAATATACAGCCTAAACTGTAAAACTTCTAGAACAAAATACAGTAAAAGGTCTTTGTGAACTTAGAGTAAGCAAAGATTTCTTAGAAATGACACTAAAAGCACAATCCATAAAAGAACATATTGGAGTTTATTAAAATTTAAAACTTTTGCTCTTCAGAATTCTTGTTGAGGGCGCCTGGGTGGCTCAGTCGTTAAGCGTCTGTGTTTGGCTCAGGTCATGATCCCAGGGTCCTGGGATCAAGCCCCACATCAAGCTCCCTGCTCAGCTGGAAGCCTGCTTCTCCCTCTCCCACTCCCCTTGCTTGTGTTCCCTCTCTCACTGTGTCTCTCCCTGTCAAATAAATAAATAAAAATCTTAAAAAAAAGAAAAAATTCTTGTTGAGAATGAAAAGACAAGCCACATACCACAATAAAATCTTTGCAAAGCATGTATCTGATAAAGAACTTGTATCCAGAACATATAAAGAACTCTCAAGACTTACAAAAACAACCACCCAATTTTTTTTAATGGGACAAAGATCTAAACAGACACTTCACCAAAAAAGATACACAGATAGCAAATAATCACACAGAAAGATGTTCAACATCATTAGTCATTAGGAAAAAAACATATTAAAACCACAAGATACCACTGCACACCTATTAGAATGGCTAAAATTAAAAATGACTGATCATACCAAATATTGTGGAGGATGTGCGGGAAACAGAACTCTGACTACAGTTTTGATGGGAATGTAAAATGGTTCAACCACCCTGGAGAACCATTTAGCAGTTTTTTAAAAACCTAAACATACATCTACCATATGACACAACCATTCCACTTCTAGATTTTTACCCGAGGAAAAAGGAAATATATGTCCACACAGACTTGTACACAAATGTTCATAGCAGCTTTATTGGTAATAGCCCCAAACTAAACACAGCCCAAATATCCACCAACAGATGAGTGGATAAGTTGCAGTACATCCCTATAATGGAACACACTCAGCAAAAAAAGGAATGAACTATTGGTACACAGAACAATTTGAACAAATGTCTAGAGAGTGATACTGAGTAAAAAATACCAGACCAAAGAAAAAGAAATACATACTGTCTGATTCTACTTACATAAATCTTTAGAAAATGCAAATGAGTCTATAGTGACAGAAAGTAGATCAGTGGTTGCTTAGGTGTGGGAGGCAGGGAGGGATGCAAGGAAGAAATTACAACAGGGCTTCAGGAAACTTGAAGATGATGGATATATTCACTTGACTAGATGATGGGGTATATACACATCAAAACTTCACAAATTACATACTTTAAATATGCTCCACATATTACATGTCAATTATACCTCAATAGAGCTGTCTAAAACCAAAACCAAAAAAAAAAAAAAAACCTCTATCTCAGCTGTCAGATTTTAAGAGGAGCAGAGAGGAAGCAGAATGGAAATCTCAGTTAAAGGCCTCAGTGAGGTTTGTGAATTATCCAAGTATGCAAAGAATCCATGCTTCCGTGGCCTAGCTAAGCTTCAGCATAATGAGCCATCTCTCTGCTATTCTCCAGCAATGGTGACAACCACCACTACTGAGTTCTGTTTTCAGGAAGAGAATAACCCAATCAGTATAAAATTAATTCTGTGTCTTGTGGGAGATTGTCAGTTGAACATATAATCCACATTTATAAACATTTTTCACGAGTGTTCTACTTGCAGGATAGTTTTAATATTGAGAGTAAACTTTTTGCATGTAAATCCCAATACAGACACACTAGTTATTTAATCTCTGGGAACCTCGGTTTCTTCATCTGTGAAATGCCATACAAAATAAGAAAAACAGGGAAACTGAAAAGAGCAGACTGTGCCAGAATTATTAATTCTTCCTTTTTGGCCAGAGCCTCTTTCCTCTCCCTCTGTTCTGAGAGATGTCCCTTTCTTCCTATCACCACCTGCAGTAATTATTTTGAGTAAGTCAACCTTCTCTCCGACGCTCCATTCCTCTATCACTAGACCCTTTGAGAGAGGTCTATGAGGAAGGTCCCCGCCATAGTCCTGACTGACGATCACTAGTCAAGAAGGGATCCACCAGATTCAGCTGTGACTGAGGACAACAACTCATGTGTTGGGCTGGCCTTGAGCTCTCTGTATTGCATGTTCTGGAGGTTGGGTTTCACCTTCCAGACAATCATTATTTGCTGAACAGTTGGATGGGGAATATCCCAACAGTATCCGCATTTGTAATGGCGGGGAAGGTAGTTTTCCAGGGTGGCCTGTGTTCTCCGGGAGCTAAGCCATATGAGCTCCGACTCTTTAAGGAAGGATACAAGAACTAGGGCTTACGTAATAGGAATAATGGTTGAGCCCACTGACTGTAGCATTAAGCGGCTCCGGCTTCAATTCCCAGCAGTCACTTAATGTGTGGTATTTCAACATTTCTGAAACTCATTTTTTTTTCAACTCTACAGTGGGACTAGAGCTATCTAATTACAATAAATGTTATTACCTTATATTGTAAATTACAGCACCCTGACCAATGATTACCTTGAATACTAAAGAGAGCAGTTAACCCACTAATTCACCTTTTCTTAACTATACACTTAAAAGCTTGCACAATTAAAATTTGCTCGGAAAACAAACCTTTCCCCTTCTGAGTTAAGAATTTAAGAAGACAAGACCTAGAAACAAACGAAAATCCAGGTCCTAAAAAGGATACAAACCTCAAAAAGCCAGGCAGGTTTGCCAACAAAGCTCCGCCTCCATGCAAGCCCTGCCCACTTCCGGCTGCCCCACCCACCCTCTAACACTGGAACACATCCCTCTCTGCAAGGTCCCGCCCCCCGCACCTGATCTTGGCTCCCATTGGGCGAATCTGGATGCTGTGTACACACCCAACACACGCAGGTTTGGCAGGGGCGTCTTCGCGCCTGCGCAGCAGCACCGTCAAGCGGCTGGGTACTAGGGACTGGGGGGAGGGGGGCGGAGGTCAGGCCGAATCTTCCTCCGTAATAAGAAGCTACGCATCCTGCGGTCCTGGCTCCGTGGGTCGGGTCGGATCGGGCCTGGGCGCTGGAGCTGCTGTGGCTCCCGCCGCGGCGGGTGCGATGGAGGCGGTGCCAGAACCCAGCACTCACGCCGGGGAGGCCCAGACAGCGGACGGTGCTAGTAGATGAAGCGGCGGCGGCAGCAGCAGGGGCTCTCCATGAGCAAGCGGCGGCGGCGACGGGTGCGGCGGCACCGACGGTTTTCGGTCCCCGGGGAGGTACGAGAAGTCGGCTTCCTGGTGGACGGAGACTGGTCGGTGTGGGAACGCCTTCCGCGGCCCGGCCCTCCCGCCCAGCGCCCGCAGTCCCAGGCGCTTAGGGGAACACTACCTGGACGCGGGCAGGGCTGCCCAGCCGTTTCACCTGCTCCAGGCTCGGGGACCTGCCAGCCGTGCGGGGCCAACCCTCGGTGCCAGGCCTTAGCGGGCGCAGAGGGCCGGGGGCGGGGTAGGCGTGGCCGGAGCGCGGGGGACAGAGGCGGGCGCCCACCGCGCGCCCAGCAGGTCCCTGCCCCGAAGCCCCGCGCTGCTTCAAGGGGGAGCGCGTGGCCGTTTTTCAGATTATTTCGGGGTGCTGATTCGAGAGGGAACCCTTAGGACCGCCGAGCTCTTAGGGAGTCTGGCATCCAGTGCCTAGGGCGAATGGTCTGGTCCTCACGACCAGCGTGGAGTACAGATGGTCACCCTTGAAAATGACCGCAAGAGAAAGGTGTCGTTTTGCCAAGGAAATAGAGGTCGGGGAGTTTGCCAGGTTTATTTAAACTGGAGGGCCTGTTGAATCAGGACAATAATGCCAGCAGGCTACATCCTCCAGGGCTTGTAATACAGTGCCTAACGAAACAGTCTTTTCGACGATGTGGTGAAATCTTAAGACAGTTTTAAGTAAAGCTCTTTGCAGCCATCTCACCACCTTTTTTACTTATTTTTGTGGTAATTTACTTTATAACAAATCACCACCTTAATACTGAAACGATTAAGTGTCCTCTATTCTTCAGTCCTCTCCCCCCTGTCCTTTCCCTTTCCCCAGAGAAAGGCTGAAGAAGTTAGTTTCATTTTATGTATATGTAAGTATATATAAAATTGTAGTTTATTTCTCTTAAGTATAACTGTTGCTGTAGCTACTCCTTATTTGGTCATGTCTAAAAGATAATTTGAAGAAAAATAGTGCAGAGATTTACGGCTCCTTCCCGATGCAACTTTTGGGAATCTGAGCTCAGGCTTGTGACCTTGCTACAAAGTTTTTAAAAATTAAATAGAAATAAGTAAAACCATAAAGAAAGTTATTTTCATTTTTAAAAGTATTTGAATGCTATATGACTTTTTAAAAATCTGCTCCAGAAACATTAAGAAGAAACAGTTTGTGTTTGCCTAAGGCTCCAGATTTACCACGCCCTCTGATTCCTAAATGGTTGACTAGAGCCAACAACATGTTACCGACTATGAATAAACATCTACACTTAAGACTAAATATAGTGTTGAATATTTTAGAGTCCTCAGTCTTGCCTCAAGCCGAAAATACTGTGCGCACGCCCGCGTTTAATATATTGTAGTACTGAATTTTTAGTCTGCTAGTATTGTAAAATCAGTTTGAATTTAATTTCTTTAAAGTGTAAAACTTTTTTAACTGAAGTATAGTTGACACAATGTTACATTAGTTTCAGGCCTACAACATAGTGATTCAACAACTCTATACTTTATGCCATGTGAACTTTATTTCTTACAGAAAAAAAACACATAGGTCTGCGGTATTGAGTATTGGATTTATGTTGTGCTTGGGAGGATGTGTGTGGCACTTTGAAAAGATTGTCAAAATAAGACACCTGAGTCACTGACATCTCACTTCCTCTTCCTCAGATGCTTTGCTTTCCTTTTTCATGAAAATATACTTTTCCATAGAAGTAACATTGAGAAACCCTGTGATGTTTTTAGTTTAGACATTTATTGTCCCAAGTAAAGCAGTGTTTTCAATTCAGTATTCTTTAACTTTTTTAAAATGTTGCTTTATATAACACACATGACACGAACATGTTTGTTATAATACTATCAATGACTAAAAACAAATCATTTAGCTAACCTCAAAGTTAGGAGAAGGATAAATAACAGTTTAAATAAAGAGGACACCCAGTTCATTCCCAAAACATTCGAAGATGGGAATCAGATTACTTACCAAGTTCTGAGTCAGATCTTCACAGCATGCCTCTGTAGTTAGAACTATAGAATATCCAGCATGGTCCTAAATTGCAAGTGAAAATCCCAAAGTGCATAGAAATGATTTTTATATCAGCTGTGCAACTATTCAGTTAAGTACTCTGGATTACTTTTCATATGTGGTCTTTCAAAGATAATTGGCCATTATTCTGTAGCCCAACTAAGAATTCCATTATAGCAATTTCATAAGTGGAATCATGCATATTAAAAAGGAAATGAAGTACAGCTTGTATTTTGAAGGGAGAAAGAGGTTTACATTAGGAATGCACCCAACCAAATTTAGATTGCATCTTCAAATAGCTCTGTTTGCATTTAGAATTTTTTATTTCAGGGTCTTCTTGTATCAAAGATAAAATCTGCAATATAATTAGTATAGAAGTCTATCAAATGCTCATCCTGTACCCTAAAAAAGATTGTACTTCTTAATGGTCTTTCCAGAGGCCATGCATATTTCAAAAAATGGCTCAGCTTGAATTGTTTTAAGTTTTTTCCTTATATTGGTAGGCCTTCTGACCAAATTTAATTTGAATCTTTTTTTAAGATTTTATTTTTAAGTAATCTCTATACCCAATGTGGGGCTCGAACTTAAAATCAGGAGATCAAGAGTCACATGCTCTACCAGTTGAGCCAGCCAGGCGCCCCTAATTTGAAGCTTTAGATAGCTTTGTTTTCATTTAAACATGTTTCGTGCATTTAACATATGAAATCACAAATTTACATGTCCTATCTTAAACTTTTAAAATGCAGGATGAAGACACTGTATGAAGAGATCAAAGCATCAATTAAAAATAACTATAACCAAGACCGCTCATTTTGGAGGCCTGTTCTTCCTTGGGGAGGTGTTTTTACTATCAAAGCTGGCCGCAAAGCAGTGTCCTGTACACCACTCTACGTTGAAATAAGACTGAAAAATACCTGCACCATAGATGGATTCTTGATGTTATTATATGTCATTCTTAATGAAAATGAAAATTTCCCCAGGGAACTCTCTCTTCATTTAGGTAGAGAGTTTGTAGACTGTTTCCTTTATTTAATGGACACCTACAGTTTCACAACTGTGAAGCTACTTTGGATTTGGGACAAGATGGAAAAACAGCAATACAAATCTGAAGTTCATAAGGCTTCATTAATCATTGATCTATTTGGGAATGAGCATGATAATTTTACAAAAAATCTCGAAAATCTCATGTCTACCACGCAAGAGAGTTATTGTTCCAACTGGCGATGCCCAACTCGAGTGCAGGAAGATCAGCAACGCACAATTAATATAAAGTAAGTTCCTTTGAAGTCTGACACTTTTAGCAAAGATAATATACTTTTTAGATGAATGTTGCTATAAATAAATAAATATAGGTAAAGTATTTCCTAAAGTACAGACCCTGTGTAATTACTTACACATAGCAACCCCACAAATACAGGGCTATAGTAAGTCCCATGACAAAAGTGTTACTGTTTATTAAATCCAAATATCTTGGAATTGACTTTGTAAAACCAACTGATAACTATTTCACTTGAAAAGTAATGAATTAGTCAGTATGCAAAATGTTTTATTCTTGCTTTGAATTGCTAATATGACTGTGTAGATAATTTTTGTGTCATAAACGTAACCTCTTAAAGAACATTTAATACTATATTAGAATGTGTCACCTCTTGAATGGATTTATGTTGGGTTGGCTATTTCTACATGAACAAGATTGAAAGTATTCTTTCATGTCATGGCCAGGGCATAATTATAGACAGAAACCCCAAACTTGGAATCTTCATACCTGGAGAGGATATGGATATGAGGAGCTTTTTCACTGACTAGGAGAGGTGCTCATAGCCTGCTGTGTAATTTTGGCTTTGAGAGAGAAGGCAGACCTCCAGGCTGGTAAATGATGATAGGAAGGAAGGCCAAACTGGCAAGCCCTAGTGGAGTGCTGGGAAACATCAAAGCCCCCAGGGGACATGAGATGGAAAAAAGATAACTGCCAGTGGAAAAACAGGACCAAAGCAAACCCAAACACATTGTGTCTCAAAGTGTATTTGGCCCTGTGGTCCAGAGAAGCAGCCTAATAGATACTCCCTTTTTGGAATATACATCACATACCCTGACTTAACTAAATTCACATTTGTTTATAGCATATTTAGTTTAATATTGAAACATCATGCTACTTACGGAAAGCTGAAGATCTTTTATTTAAGAATCTGCCAATTAATGTCTTTCTTGTTTCTGAAATACACTTTGTCCATTTCCCTGTATTGCTGATATGATGATGTTGAGTTTGAAATCTGTTAGGGAAAAAAGTTTCATTACTCTAAATTGTAATGGACTAAAAAGCATTTTAGAAATCTGTTTTTTCAAAACTAGTATCAATTTGTGTATGTTCTGAAACAAAAATATTTATAATCCTGTATTAATGCTAATATTTTAAGCTTCTCAATAAAATATTTCATACTTCTCAATAAAATATTTCATACTAAAATATAGTATGTATCTGTATTCTCTATAACTTTTTAAGACTTCTGCCTATATTTTAATCCTATATTTAAAACAATCTCTGAGGGGCGTCTGGGTGGCTCAGTCATTAAGCGTCTGCCTTCGGCTCAGGTCATGATCCCAGGGTCCTCGGATCGAGCCCCACATCAGGCTCCTGCTCCGTGGGAAGCCTGCTTCTCCCTCTCCCACTCCCCCTGCTTGTGTTCTTGCTCTCACTATCTCTCTCTCTGCCAAATAAATAAATAAAATCTTAAAAAAAAAATAAAACAATCTCTGAAGCATGTAGGAAGAAATTTTTTAACAAATCAGGTAACAGAAGCCAACAATGGCTGTAACTTGCATTTAGTCATGTAACTAATTGGCAGCTGTCCTAACTGGGTCCTCCTTTCTTCCCCCCAAAGCACAATCCCCTCTACTGAAACCTCTCAAAAATTTTTTAAAGTAACAACCGCATATTTCAGGATCAGTTTCCAGAAAGATTTAATGTTTCTTGGAAAACTTCATGTATTAATGTTTATTAAGTTCAACTGATTTCTATAATTATAACAAATACAAAGATGAAAAACAGAGGTTTCTATAATTATAACAAATACAAAGATGAAAAACAGAGGTTAGGGGCACCTGGGTGGCTCAGTCGTTAAGCGTCTGCCTTCAGCTCAGGTCATGATCTCAGGGTCCTGGGATCGAGCCCCGCGTCGGGCTCCCTGCTTGGTGGGAAGCCTGCTTCTCCCTCTCCCATTCCCCCTGCTTGTGTTCCTGCTCTCGTTGTGTCTCTCTCTGTCAAATAAATAAAATATTTAAAAAAAAAAAAAAACAGAGGTTATACTTTCATACTTGGTTTGCTAATAATGAATTGACTTGTAAAATTGGTTATCCTAATAATGTATTTAACATGTAAAATTCCAAAGCAATTCTTACATACATTTTGTATTTGTTGTAGTCCTCCCCAAGAAATTCCTCATGGAAACTTGATACGACTGGCTGTGGATGAGTTATTCTGTTCCAGGATTGAACTGTGTGAAGAGAGTGGGTGAGTATATTGATAGACATTTAAGATGAAAGTATTTCTGTTTTTTATAAAGAAACCTGAACAGATATGTTCTTTGATGTTAATACTTCAGGAAATAGCAACTCACAAATATTTAGGAAGCCTAATGTTTTTAGAATCTTAACACCTACGATAGTTTACTATGCCATCTTATGCTGTGTTGTCATTATAAAATTTCACTATATAGAATATACTACATTTAATTGATGAATACAAAGCAAATGCCTTTTCTTTTTTCCCCACTGCTGAGTAGGTACAATAAAACCTTGGTTAACCGGAACCCAGCTAATCGGACTCTCAGTTAACTGGATTTTTTTCTGCATTCCTCATTTAGGAGAAAGAGGTAAATGGCAACCAAAAAATTTAACATAGTTTAAAAAAAATTCAAAAGGGGCAGAACATATTCATCCCAGTCTCTTAACAATTTATATATCTACAGTATTGTACAATGAGAATTAAGATTTAGAAGGATGATCTTACAGCTAATTAATCACAAAAGAAGGGAAGAATAAAATACATTCAGTTAATTGTACTTAAATCCAGAAAGTGAACTAATGTATTTTAACAGCAAATACTGAAACAAAATGGTTTTCTGGTTAATACTTTAGTCAGTAACGTTTGTGAACCAAAATACTGTGCCCTGAGTATTCCGGTTAATCGAGATTTTACTGTATTTGTGGTATTCTGATTTGTGGTATTCTGATCCATATGCTTAATATGTGAGACTACTAAGAAAACAGAATTTGTTTCATCCTAGTGGTAAAAAGATGCAATTAGGGAATTTTATGCAATATAAAGAGGACTGGAAGAGTCCTACTATTTACCTCTCTGCCAGTATTATCCTTTGAAACCAGCTGGGAGAGGAAAAAAAAATGTATGGACATATAAAAGCTTTTATGTCAGTTCAAAAAAACTACATATTTTAATAAGCTTAGAAAAAAATAGCTAGCTTTTCCTGGAGTTTTGCAAGTATTATTTCTTGTATAGAATCTCACAGTCTATAAACTTCTAGGCATAGATATATAAAATACTAATATAGCCACAGCATTACCCACACCTAAAATAGATAATTATACTTATTATGAAATTAAGTAATAAAGACAACACAGAAGTGATAAAAGGCAGTTTTGTTTCAAGTGTAATAAAGTTCATGCCTATTTTCAATTTTAGGTGTGGTGGCTTAAGAGAATTTTCCCAGCGAGTTTTCTGCCATGGGGCACCCCCTTTTGTTGTCTTAAATATGCAGCATTGGAAATCTGAAGATCTGGCATATGTACCATATTACTTGGATTTATCTGATCACAAGTAGGTGTTTTTTTGTGTGTTTTATAAAACTAATAAAAAGTAAATTTATTTTCTATTTTTCTGCTATTCTGTCATGACTGTGACTAGCCCTTAAGGAAATATTGTTGAAAATATCATAGTTATCTGTAATTCTGTATATCCTGAATAAGATTAGAATCTACTACAGGGGGTTAGTCATTGGCAATGTGCATGGTAGTTGGACTATGGAATAGACAGAACTGAGTTCAAATCCCAGACCCACCTTTTACAAGCAATGTAACGTTGGGCCCTAACTTAACCAGCTTACACATCAGTTTCTTATTCTATGAAACTGAGATGACAGTACCTATCTGGTACATTATTGTGAGATTTGATGAGATAACACATGTAAAGTGTTTAGTCTAGTACCTGACACGTAGTAAATAGTAATGACTGGCTATTACTTGTATTTCAAGTCAAAGTAGTGTATAGTAGAAGGTCATTGTTTAAACAAAAAATGTTACTTTCAGCATTATAGATAAAAATGTATGCATACAAGTTAGGACATACAGGGTCTTTTAACTTTTTGCCTTTAAAAGGTTTTCTCTTATTTAATAGAATGATACAAATTATAAGTTAACCTGTTAAAATGTTTTTCAGAATACTTAAATTATGTCAATTTTTTTAAATTCTTAAATATTTTACTCCAAATTATCAGTTATAGTATGTGCTTTTTACAGGCAGATATCTTTTTTAGGTACTACAATGCAAACAATATCAATATTTTTATTCCTTAATTAAAAATTTAAGGGGCATCTGGGTGGCTCAGTTGGTTAAGCATTCGACTCTTAATCTCAGCTCAGGTCTTGATCCTCAGGGTTGTTAGTTCAAGCCCCATGTTGGGCTCCACGCTGGATGTGAAGCCTACTTAAAACAACAACAACTTCAGGAATGTTTAAATATAAAGATTTGTCTTTTTTGCTACACTTTGTCATTTAATTTGCAGGTATTTGTTGGAAGGTGCCACATTATTTAACAAAGAGGAACATCATTATTCTGCAGCTTTCCAAATTGATGGACATTGGATGCACTATGATGGCCTCAGAAATGTGAATTTAATTTTGTTAAATAAACCCCCAGAGTTTCTCCTCTTGTCATCATTGGTTTATATTCGAGCAACAGAGAAATAAATATAGACTGATGCTAAATTAAATTCTTTTCCCTCCTACCCATGCTCCCCCAGATGAAGGGCTTTTATTTTGTATATACTTGGTATCCAAGGAAATAGTTGAACTATACTAGTTTCAGAGGTGTATTTTCCAGTGTTTAGCCCCAGGTAAATATTATATATAGACAATCTATGCAAAAATATTTGTATTTCTTTTTTCTATGTCCTGGGTTATTTTTATATAAGCATACTTTATGTTGAAATAAAATATATCTTGTAGCCTTTGTATTTTTTATTTATATGTACTCAAAAGATTTTACAGTTCTGTCCTTGAAACCAAGAAAATACTTCATCATTTGAATTCTCAGTTTTTCTTTTTGGGTATTAAAATAAAACCGGGGTACAAGTCAGTATTTCAGTTTATATAAATTTAACAGTTCAAAATGTATCTGACTATATTTTTTGCCCTACCTCACTAAAATCCAAAGTGCACTGTTGGATCTAGTATGGATTTGAATGTAGACCTTATAGATGGCTTAATCTTTTTTACTTGTTGATTTGCCTAATTTCCCTGCAGCAGTTTTTAAAAATACTTTGGTGAGAATGTTTTTCTGACCTTGAATTATTTCTTTATAATGGCAAATTACTTTAACCACTTGCTCTAAAGTATTATAAACCTGCCAGCAGATTTTAAGTGTTAACTTGCAAGCTTAATTAAAGTTATTGGTAGAAATAAATTATATAACTAATCTTACATAATTAAATGTAATGGAAATTTTCTAATAAAAATCTATTCTGAAGATAAGACAACTATAAATAAATATCAGCAACTGGATGCTTACTAATGCTGGATTAACAATAGAAATGTACTTTAAATATATATTTAAGAGAAAACGGTACCTGGAATATTTTTTTCCTCTTAAGTCATATTGGCACAGAGAACAAAGAAGTACCTAAATTTTTGTAGTAACAAACTGCTGGCTTCCTTGTAAGTAGTAAACTGATAGCATGAGGTTTGTTTTGCAATATAAATCACTAGAATTTTATAGTTCTCAGAAATTATGTTTGTTTTCAAAACCCTAAGATTTTTGTTCCTTTTGCAATTTCAAGGAAAAAAATTAATCTCCTCAAGGGAAAATACTTTTTGCAATTTACCAACATTCACTTTATTGTTTAATTTCAGTAAACAGTCCATCTTAGGTTTTGGGTTGGGACTGCGTGCAGTATACTTGGAGATTTCTGTGTGACAACACAGTTCACTGCCATATACCAAATTGGTAAGATTTAATTCAGTAAATTAAATCTTACATTGGCTTGGTGCCATGTTGAAATAACTTACAAAAGAATGAATAAACGTGAGTATAACATTGCTGAGAATGCCTCACTTTGAGTGAATACTGTGAAAATTGCGCCTTGCATAAGATAAAAAATAGTGATTTATTTTACAAAAAAATTACCCCAGAGTTTATTTAAATAGTCCCCCACATGTATTTACATAGGATTTGATTTACAGTGAATTTTTATGTGGACACCTTATTGCATGAATCAAAGTATACAAAAACACAACTATTAGCATATATATAAGTGGTTCATTAGCATAATTATTCCTAATGCAGATTATTCTTTTAAGAATTGCACTTTATTTGGAATAATACTAGTTTATCACAAAACAATGACTTACCTACCTCACAGGGTTGTTGTGAGGATTAAGATGTTTGTTAAAATCTTGACTGCCTTGAACATGCTAATAAAAAATATATTTTTTTCTACCTCTTTCATATATAGGCAAGTCTCCCAGATTCTCTGTTACTAATAAACTTTTTAGATCTTTTCTTTTAAATTATTTATTTGGGCAGTTGCTCCTATCAGTAATGGACTTAATGTATAATAGAATCTAAGTATGCCTTCTGGACCCCAAGATGGTTGGATTTTAAGGATAATAGGTAGTTTATTGTTACAGTAGTGGTTGTTGGTAGATAGAAGCAATTTCCCCTGCTGACCAAATAGTAGGTAGAAAAGGAGTGAAAAATAGATTATCTGCAGGATGTGAAGATGAGGGTATGGAAAATTCTTTACAACCTTAAACACCCTTAGAAAAATTGGAATACTGGGGTGGGGGAGGGGGGAAGCAGTGAAAGATATGACAAAATAATAAAAAAAAATTTTTTTTTAGATTTTTATTTATTTGAGAGAGAAAGAGAGCACAAGCCAGAGGAGGAGCAGAGGGAGAGGGAGAAGCAGGGAGTCTGATGTGGGGCTCAATCCCAGGACCCCGGGATCATGACCTGAGCCGAAGGTAGACACTTAACTGACTGAGATACCCAGGCGCCCCCAGAATGCATTTTTAATAAAAATGCCAAAAACCATAACTAAACTCTATGGGGAGAGCAAAAATGATTTTAAAACCCTGGCTTCAATCAGAGGGGCATAAAGGACAAATAAAGCAAGTTTAAAAAGGAATGTCCAACTTCTTTGCAGCAAAAGAAACCTTTTGCCTCCAATTTAGCAAATAATATTACTTAGATTTATCCTTCAAAGTAGCTTTTCATTATTATTATAGTTAATTTAATATCTGAGTCATTGTCACTGGATCTGATCCAATTAAAGAGGAAGAAAACCACCATAGGCATGTTTGCTAGGGTGACTCCCATGTTCTATGTCATTTTTAGAGTATGAGTAAACTAAGCTATATAAGCAGATGACTTCTAGGACGCATACACAAAAAGCTGTACGTGTTGAGCATATCAACAGTTTAGTATTATAATTAAATGATTTAATGATATTTAGTTATTTGAAAAATAGTTGTGCTATAGGCATAAAGGGTAAGCAGTTCATGCAAAAGTGACTTCAATTATTGTTGCTGAACTATAGCCAAAGCAAACATTTATATTTTCATCTTCCTTTGTCAATGCTCTTAAGATTTAAAATCAGCACCAAATTCTTCTGCTTTAAAAGCTACAATGAAGGGCGCCTGGGTGGCTCATTCGGTAAGCGTCTGCCTTCGGCTCAGGTCATGACCCCAGGGTCCTGGGATCGGGCCCCTCATCAGGCTCTCTGCTAGGCGGGAAGCCTGCTTCTCCCTCCCCCACTCCCCCTGCTTGTGTTCCCTCTCTCATTGTGTCTCTCTCTGTAAAATAAATAAAATCTTTAAAAAAAAAAATAAAAGCTACAATGAAGACAGATTTTGAAGTTCATCTCAATGGCTTGATGCCTTACTAACAGGTTCCTACGCACTCAACTAGCCCAGGATTCACTATCTGGTCACCTAAACAGCCTTTAGCCTCAAATTTAATATGATCCCAGGGAAAGCATAACCTTTGACTCTGTCTTTTTTTTTTTTTAAGATCTTATTTATTTATTTATTTATTTATTTATTTGACAGAGAGAGAGAGAGAGACAGCGTGAGAGGGAACACAAGCAGGGGGAGGGGGAGTGGGAGAGGGAGAAGCAGGCTTCTGGCTGAGCAGGGAGCCTGATACGGGGCTCGATCCCAGGACCTTGGGATCATGACCTGAGCTGAAGGCAGTTGCTTAACCAACTGAGCCACCCAGGCGCCCCGCCTTTCACTCTGTCTTAAGTTGAAGAGGAAGTTGGTGGGGAGCCCTCTGGAGCTAGATGATTTCTTTATATGCTGATTTCTACCTGAGGATGTGTATTATTTATACTGAGTGACCAGTCAGTTCCATAGTCCATCTGTTGTTTTCTCAGTGAGGTCTGCTGGAAGGTATCAAAAGGAATATCATTTGGGGATGCCTGGGTGGCTCAGTCAGTTAAGTGTCTGCTTTCAGCTCAGGTCATGACCCCAGAGTCCTGAGATCAAGTCCCCAGTCTGGCTCCTTGCTCAGGAAGGAGCCTGTTTCTCCCTCTGCCTGCCACTCCCCCTGCTTGTGCACACTCTCTCTCTCTCTGACAAATAAATAAATAAAATCATTTTAAAAAAAAGAGGAATATCATTTGAAAATGGAAAAGTGAGCTACCCCAACAGGACCCTCAAAAATGGTGTGGAATGGAACAGCAGCTTGGAGAGCAAATGAGCTGTGTAGACAAGTTAGCCACGGTAAAATTAGCCATCTGTTTATATGCTTATTTATAGTTTCATTACTTGCTTGTTTTCCCTTTGAATTTTGTAAAGTCCCATTTTTAATATGATTATAAAAATAATACATAAATCAATAAAAAAGAGTAAATCCCAAAAAAGTGTAAATAAAATGATCAAACACGATTTCTCCACCCAGTGATAATTAATTCATACTATAAAGCCTTTTTGAAAAGTCCAACATGGCTTCATAGTACTGAAGAGCACCAAGAGCCAAAGAGTCAGGGCTTTGAGGAAGTGTATACGCCTGGGGGCCAGTATCGTGGTGATACAAGCTATCAACGTGGAGAAACTTCAATAGGAGAGTGAGACTGAAGAAAACTGCTGTGGTCATCTATTCAGACATTTCTTTCTACGTGGACACTTGTCTTTAGAAGCCTTCATCTTCTCAAACCTTCAAGAACTTATTTTACGAATGACATTGTTCCTTTACATTCCTCTACCTCAAAACTAGTATCCAGGTGCCAGAGTTGGGAAGCAAGGCCCTGATGACATAAATTGTCCCAAAGCAGATACAACCAAATAGATTTTCTGTTTCTCTGTTAACCTAACAGAGTATAACAAAGAAAGATTAAAATAGACTGAGCATAATTGGCTTGCTTTAAGGGTAGAGTAGGGAAAAAAAGTTTATTGAGGGAGATTGTGAAAAGCAGGCATAATAAATAGTTCAACACATGGGACTTTTAGGTCGGAAAAAAAGAAGAGGAAAGCAAGCAACAGGAAACAGAAAAGCTGAATTGTGCTCAGGTCAAGGAGACACCAGGTTAAGCCTTGAAGGAAATAACTGGCTGGCTAGGGAAATCTTTACCTGAGCAGGCTAATCTTGATTTGGGGGCTACAAGCTAGAACAAGTTGAGAGCATCCATTCTCTACAGTATTTATTTAATACATACTACTATTTGCTAGGTGAATTAGATATTATTTATGCCCTGGAGGCGAGCACATGTCTAGAAAAAGGGAAAGATGAATCAATGATGACTGTATAGAAGGAAGTGCTATGGCAGGGTTAGCACCTCAGGCTTTGCAAGTACAGAGGAGGGCAGCTCGGCAGACAACTGCTGTGAGGTCTTTGTTGAAACGGGCCCGTTGCCTGTCTAGCATCTCTGGAGGAAGTTTGTAGAGGAAAGAGACTACAAATTGCCTAACTTGTGCTCTCCAGGGTAATTGTAAGGTCCTATTTCC